TTTTTTAGATTCCACATATAAGTGAATCTAAAAAATATCATACGATATTTCCTTTCTCTTTCTGGCTTACTTCACTTAATATAACAATCGCCAGGTCCATCCAAGTTGCTGCAAATGGCATTATTTAATTCTTTTTTTACGGCTGAGTAATATTCCATTGTAGAAATATACCACAACTTCTTTATCCAATCATCTGTTAATGGACATTTAGGTTGCTTCCATGTCTTGGCTATTGTAAATAATGCTGCTGTGAACATTGGGGTGCATGTATCTTTTTGAATTAGAGTTTCCTCTGGGTATATGTGTGGATAGCTATTACATGGGCCACATTGTCCACACGTTTTTGGTATTCTGGTTGTACTGTAGTAACTTTCTTGGTATATATTTAAATAAAAGCTGCTTTATATTATTTTTGGCATTAGGTAAGCCATTTATCAAAATATTTAAACAATTCAAATTACTTTGAATTTCAAATTACTCAGCAGTGTAGGTTTCTACTGTCTCTTGGTTCACAGTTAAACTGAAAATTGATTTTTAGAAAGAATTCAAAACATGTGTTCTATGTTTTCTTTTACTTGCTTAGATAACATCATCATGACTGAACAAGCAACGAAAAGAGCATGTTCAAATCAGATATTCTGGGAAATGATGATAATTTTAAAAGAATAGAATATGTAAATATAACAGCTGCCAGGTCTTTGACTATCCTGAGCAACTTTTTCTTTTCCCTTTTCCAACAAGAGAGAATATTCTCCTTTTTTTTTACAGCTAAATAATAAAACTTAGTTCTACTACATCTTTTATTGCTTTTTTTCCCATCTGAATTTTCCATCAATGCTTTTTTTCTGATTTCAGAACTGGTCACACCAGGTCACTACTGGCCTGCATTCAGTTCTGGGACACACTTTTTGGATGTAGACATATTGGAAAAGAGAGTGACTGGACAGCAAGGGGGCTTGAAACCTTGTCATTTCAGAAAAGGCTGAAGAAAATAGGAATTTTAATCTGGGAAAGACTAGGGGAAGAAGTGGTGCAAGAGAGCTGCCTTTGCATTTTTGAAGAGTTGTCTCGTGCAAGAGTAAGTAAGGGTGTTTAGCACACTTCAAGAGACAGAATTAGAACCAGAGGGCCAGAGGGTGACAAGGTATTTCAGAGCTGCCTCCAGCAGTGAGCTCTCTAGCTCTGCAGGTGCAGGAGCGTAGGCTGTAGACTGCCTCTCAGGGCGTCGCAGGCAGGTATCAAGCTATGTTTGCAGAGTTAGAATAAATATTGTCACTTTCCAACTTGAGACACTTCTATACTTAGTTAAATTTCTACGTATAACATTACCTCCCCTTTCTGCAGTTGAGTGAAATCTTAATTCTCTTAGTACTTCCTTTATGTGTGAAACACTATTCTTTACTGCTGTTTAAGGTAAAAGTTCCTAACATTTATATTGTGTGACAAAAAAGAAGTTTCTTCCATTATCTTCCTCTATAGACTGAAGTCATGCCTTTATTGTGAAACTACAACCAATAGAACTTTGACCTCATGATAATTGAGAGAAAAAGGGTTTTATGATCTCATTAGAACTTTGACATGTATGTGTGTGGTGTACACTATCTTGTTCACAATTTTTCTTGTAGGTTTTTAAAATACCAATTAGATTGTGCAGATTTTGGTTTTAGAGAGATTTGATTATTGATTGTTATTATTGACAATTGCTTATTTTCCTTTCATGCGACTTCAGAAAAAAACATAGGGACTTCTTAACTTCAAAAATTTCATTCTAATGCTCATATTATAAGTATGCTAGGGAAAAACTTTTTTGGTTCTGACTTTTTAATTTTAAGGACTTTTATTTGCCTGGGTAATAATTCACTCCTCATGACCTAAATTTCTAAGCAGAATTATATGAAAGAAAATGTTTTTGTAAATTCATTTTAGAAAATAAGAAGAGGGTGTTCAATTAAATCTATCTTCTCTGAAAGTGCAGATGTAGAGTTCTTTTCATTAGACTGTGTACTTTGTAAAATTAAAAGTTTACGCATTGAGCGAGAACTTGGGTTTCTTTTTCTGAATGCGATTTTTCTAATACACCACAGATAAAAATTTGTTCCCAAAATTTATTAAGCAGATTTAGATTCTACACGAATTTTAAATCATTACTTTTGGAAATAGACTGCCATCATTGAATTAATTTAGCTTTATAAACAAAGTGGTTAAGTTTAATGAGACATTCATACCCTTTGTTTTTCCATAACTTTCATATATAAAATCTCAATTAGAACTTTTCAACAAAATAATATGAATTGGTCAACATGATTGCTGACACACAATTTGGGGAAATAAATACCAGGCAAAATTCAACTGTTGAGTGCGGACAACACGTTTAGAGCTGCTTCCTTCTTTAGAATTTGATAGACGTGGCTGGGAGCCCATATAAAACACGAACTGCATCTCAACAGAGTGGAACGCTCATCACAACTCGTCTTTTCAGGACTTCTCCGGTTTTAGAAACTCTTTTGCGAGATTTTTTCCTCGTGGGAAGATTAGGTGATGGGAGAAGGTCGTTTTTAGTGCTTCTTCCAGCTTTGAATTTATAGCGTTCTTGCCTTACAGTTTAAAGATTTGAATGTTAGGATAGGTTTTTCTTTTAACTATCTTACAAAGGCATGTTCGACTAGAATTACTGAGATGCTCCAAATATTTTTTTCTGAATACCTAAGTAATATTCTCTTATCATTTTCTGTGGCTTTTTAGCTTTTCGGATAGCCCAGCAAAGCTAACAGGCTGAGACCAGAGAGTTGAGCTTTACTCGCTGGCCTCACGGCGCTCCTGCGGTCGGTCGACCCTTCCCTTGCGCGCCCCCTTTCTCCAAGGGGCGATCGAGCGCCTGCGAGTCGGAAGGCTGCCGCAGATCCCTTCGGTTTCTGAAGAAACCACTCAGCGCGCATGCTCCCCTGACGCTGGGTCTGTAGCGCCATTTTCATATCGCAGGGACTGCCCTCTAATTAGGCACGCCCGTAGGACACCGAGCGTTAAAGTTGTTCGAGCTGTTCGAGGAGCTTCACAGAAACAAGTCAGGGGCTCCTCTGAGATGAGCCGCCGCCTGCCGCGCTCCAGCTAAGACTGCGTGAAGAATTCTTTTGTGTTAGTTCCCCCCGTGGACGAGCGGCCCTCTCCTCCCCCCCGGTTCCCCCCACCCCGCGCTGGCCCCGCTCCTCCGCCCCGCCCCCCTTCGGGGCCACAGCAGTATACAGGTTAGGCATTTGTGATGATTTTGCGCCCACAGTGGCGACCCAAATGAGAGGACGTGGGGAACCGGATGGGAACGTTTTACCCCGTGAGAACAAAGCACAAGTTAATTCAGAGTCCAGTACGTGTAGAGGACACCAGTAGATGTTCTTCTGAGCTAGGAGGTAGGGTTCTCTTTTCAATATAGTTTTTTCCCATAAAGGTAGAGATCTGTCAGTGGCGGGGATGGGGGTTGGTTGAAAGATTAGCTATAGTTAAGGCGGAGATCGGAGACCTGAGGTCTTTAAGTGTGTGTGTGTGTGAGTGTGTGTGTGTGTTTGTGTTTGTATGCATGTGTGCCTGCAAGAGTTTAGAAGAACAGGGGTGAGTGGGGCGAGAGAGGTGGAGATAGAGAGGGAAGAAAAATCTGGAGTGGGAAGAAGACTGTGCGTGAAGAAAAAACTAAGGAGCGCGGGCGCATCCTTGCCTGCGAAGCTGCAGCGGCGCCCTCCGGGACCACTCAGCTCCGCGGTTTCATTCATAAGTTTCTGGTCTGGAGACTCGCCCGGTTCCTCTGGGCCCAGGGCCCCCTTTCCTGTACAGCAATTGGTGGACGGCAACAAAGCCTTAGCAACCAGCTCTTAGTGACCCTCCCGGCGCCTGGTAACTGGGGCGCGGGGCAGGCGGAGAAAGGAGCGGGGCTGTCCCTTTAAGGGATGGCCGCGGAGCTGTGAAAGTGGAGGGGACTGAGGGAGGGCGGGGAGGAAGGTCTGGGGGCGGGCCCAGGGGGAGGAGGAGGAGGAAGAGTTGCTGCTGAAAGGAGGTGGTGAAGGAGGAGCCGGAGCAGCTGCTGCCAGCCGGCGGGCACCGGAGTCCTGCCTGCTGCCGCACGAGTAGCCACGGGCGTGATCGCGGCCAGACGTCTCCTCCTCCATGATCACTTTGGGAGCCGGGGGAAGACTTTGCCCGGCCTTGAGAGCTGGTCTGCATTTCCCAGGCGGGGC